TGTGTGTGTGTGTGTGTGTGTGTGTGTGTGTGTGTGTAGTCTTTAGGGTTTTCTGCATAGAAGATAATATCACCTGCAAAGAGAGACTATTTTACTTCTTTTCCAATTTGGCTGCTTTATATCACTGTTTCTTGCCTAATTTCTCTGGCTAGAGCTTCCATACTAAATTGAATAGGAGTGAAAATGGGCATCCTTGTTTTTGTTCTTCATTTTAAAGGAAAAGCTCTCAGTCCTTCACCATTGCATATGTTTGCTGTAGATTTTTCAAGTATGTTCTTTTTTATGTTTAGGTAGTTTCTTTTTAGTTCTAGTTTGTTGAGTTTTTTCTGCATCAGTTGAGATGCTCATGTGTTTTTCTTCCCTTTATTCTGTAATGTGTTTTACATTGATCTGTTTTCATATATTGAGACATCCTTGCTTTCCAGGAATAAATTCCCCTGGTTATGGTGTGTTATCCTTTTAATATTCTGTTTGCCAGTACTTCATTGAGGATTTTTCATCAATGTTTGTACGGGATATTGGTCTGTAGGTTTCTTGTACAGTCTTTGGTTTTGGTGTAAGGGTGATGCTGGCCTCATAGAATGAAATGGGAAGCATTCTCTCCCCTTCAATTTTCTGGAAAAGTTTGAGAAGGATTAGTGTTAGTTCTTTAAATGTTTGGGAGAATTCTCCATTGAAGCCATCAGGTCCAGGACTTTTCTATGTCAGGAGACTTTTGATTACTGAATTAGTCTCCTTACTAGTTACTGGTCTATTCAGATTTTCTATTTCTTTCTTAGTCTTGGTAGGCTTTTTGTTTCTAGGAATTTATCCATTTCATCTAGGTTATCCAGTTTGTTGATGTACATTTTTCATACTACTCTCTTATAATCTTTGTGTTTCTGTAGAATCAGTAGTAGTGTTCCTTCTTTCATTTTTTCAGGGGGGAAGGAGGGGCAGAGAAGGAGGGAGAGAATATTAAGCAGGCTCCACACTCAGCATGAAGCCTGACTTGGGGCTCAATCCCATGACCTTGGGATCATGACCTGAGATGAGATCAAGGTTTGGATGCTCAACCGACTGAGCCATCCAGGCATCCCTCCTTTTTTTTTTTTTTTTTTAATTTATTTTTGAGACACAGAGAGAGAGAGAGAGAGAGAGAGACAGAGCATGAGCAAGGGAAGGGCAGAGACAAAGGGAGACACAGAATCTGAAGCAGGCTCCAGGCTCTGAGATGTCAGCACGGAGCCCGACGCGGGGATCAAACTCACAGACTGTGAGATCACGACCTGAGCTGAAGTCAGACGCTTAACCGACTGAGCCTCCCAGGCGCCCCAAGGCATCCCTCATTTTTTATTTTAGTAATTTGAATATTCACTTTTTTTCTTAGTTCATGTAGGTAAAGGATTATCAGTTTTGTTGATCTTTTCTAAGGACCAACTTTTGGTTTCATTAATTTTCTTTTTTTTTTTTTTTTTGGTAATGTTTATTTATTTATTTATATGAAATTTATGTCAAATTGTTTTCCATACGACATCCAGTGCTCCTCCCAACAGGTGCCCTCCTCAGTGCTCACCACCCACCCTCCCCTCCCTCCCACCCCTCATCAACCTTCAGTTTATTCTCAGTTTTTTAAGAGTCTCTTATGGTTTTGCTCCCTCCCTCTCTAACTTTTTTTTTTTCTTCTCCTCCCCCATGATCTTCTGTTAAGTTTCTCAGGATCCACATAAGAGTGAAAACATACGGTATCTGTCTTTCTCTGTATGACTTATTTCACTTAGCATCACACTCTCCAGTTCCATCCATGTTGCTACAAATGGCCAGATTTCATTCTTTCTCTTTAATGTTTATTTATTTTTTTTTTTAATTTTTTTTTTCAACGTTTATTTATTTTTGGGACAGAGAGAGACAGAGCATGAACGGGGGAGGGGCAGAGAGAGAGGGAGACACAGATTCGGACACAGGCTCCAGGCTCCGAGCCATCAGCCCAGAGCCCGACGCGGGGCTCGAACTCCCGGACCGCGAGATCGTGACCTGGCTGAAGTCGGACGCTTAACCGACTGCGCCACCCAGGCGCCCCTAATGTTTATTTTTGAGAGAGAATGTGCACATGTCTACATGTGAGCAGGAGAGGGGCGGAGAGAGGGAGACAGGATCTGAAGAGGGCTCTGCACTGACAGTAGAGAGCCTCATGCAGGGCTTGAACCCATGAACTGTAATATTATGACCTGAGCCGAAGTCAGATGCTTAATTGACTGAGCCACCCAGGCACCCTGGTTTCATTAATTTTCTCTATTTTTTTTTATAGTCTATTTAATTTACCTCTAATACTTCCTTCTGCTAGCTTTGGGTTTAGTTTTTTCTTGTTTTTCTCGTTTCTTAGTTGTAAAGTTGTACAAGTTAGGTTATTGATTTGAGATCT